TGATGCTGCGTATGCGTGTTTAGTAGGGGATGGGCTCAAGCCCTCGATATTACTTTCCCGAAACGATTTTACGGTTGAGGTAACGTTAAAATTAAATCAGCACTAAAAGCCATAGAATGAGCGCTCCTCTCGCGGCACGCACGGCATTGACGTTTGCACGGGTGATTTCTTCGCAACTGTCAAGCGATAGGGCCAGCAGAAGGAAATATAAGCAATGAGGTAGTAACCTGAGGAAGTTCGGGTCGGTAAAACCATGATTTTCCTTGAATAGACTGTGTAGGGGCAGTGATGCTGTATTCCATCGTTTTAACACCATAACTCGTGGGAAGGTTATCCGTGGAAACGGTACCGTACCAACAAATTCGCTGCTGCTGACCATGCCGCTGTGCTTTGGAGTATTTATTTGCTTATTTGCTGGAATCGAGCAAGATTTTTATTCATTACGTAAGCGTTTTTTTGTTGCGCGGATTTTGAAGGGAGATGGGGATTTGTCTGGAAGTAACAAACGAAAAGGGCCACGAGTAAGTCCTACTGCGACTCTTCTAGAAACGTCAAAATGAGCGTACATAAAGCATCCCCATGAAGCTTATAAGTGATTCCAGCACTTCCCAAGAACATTATCCAACACAGCAAATACTGGACCTGATCGCGCTGTGTTACACAGCTGAGATTTGAACTGACCCAACATCACGATACAATTAAAGCTTTTCAGACTACTCACTAGGCGCAAAAGGGAATCTGCTGAAGTGCGGGCGGCGCACGCACCATCGTGTTGAACTTTTCAAATGAGGAAAAAATATTTTCTTTCTGAGGCCTGATATATAGCAAAGCAAATCAGCATTATTTAGCGAAGTCAGACGCTAAAAAGCTTTCAAAACAATTTAGCAGAGACTATCTACTGAGCCAATAGCCAATAGCTATTACTGAGAAATTAGAGATGCGACTTTGAAGCCCAGGTCTTGTATGAGCCACCTCCGCTAGAAGAGAAAAGACCCTAAAGACTCCAGTGAAAGAGAATAAATAGAGGTGCTGTGGCCTGCACCACATTGACGCAAGCCTTCTTTTTTTATGTAATTGATTACACAATAAAAACAAACAGAAAGTCCGTGGTATATTGAGTATGTTCTAGTGCATGCGTACTTTCCAGCTGTAAACAAAAGAACCGACATCATGCATTACCTCTTGCTACTTTCTTGACTTTTAGCATTCAGCTAAAAAAAAATTTTTGATTGCAGTTTTTACTATGAAGCGTATATGATTTCCATCATAAGTAGCTGATTAGTATGAGTTTAGTAGAGCGTCTAGATTAGTTGCAGCACCTCTGCACCAAGATGTAAGCTGAAAGCTGTTCGTTGCCTGCTTCAAAAAAGGAAATATTAGGTCGTTCCGAAAGTAATGTCGCTTTTTTCAAATGAACGTCACATTTCATCGAATCAAGATTTTCAAGAGATCTTAAGAGCATTCGATGCAGCATTTTATGCTCTTTCTGATGGTTGTAACTCCATTGCATAATAACCATCGAGCTCTCGAAAAATTACCAAAATCTGGACTCATGCTTTTTGCTGTGGTCAAGTTCGGCCATTTTTCAGAATCTTTGTACCTATTCTCCGAAAAAGCACAAGTGACAGGTAGATAGAGCAAACTTTGTAGGACACAGAGTAATTTTTTTCTTTTTCTTAGCTTGCTACTTAGAGTTTCTGGAATCAGTTTTTCAATGCCATCAAATTCCATATTTCGTCAGCTCAAACTTCACAGAACAACAAATGGCAAGTAGCTCGGGTGTCATTCGACGCAGCTTTTTCTCCTCTTTCTACCAATTGTTTTTTGTTTCGAATTCATCAAGTTTTTCGGAATAAAATCATTATAGTTCAGATTTACCAAGGCGCCCCAGGCTGTACCCGAAATTTTCGAAAGTTGCTATTCGGAAGCGGTAAACGCTCATTAGCTTCGTAAAATTAGTGCCAGACCATAATCCATCTTTGTAAGTTTCAAGATCCGAGATTTAGTGGTGTTTGATACGTTTGTGTCTGAGACGAGTCTGCTAAAATCGGTGGTTCTATCAAAAAATCTATATAAAAATTATGACGAGCTCTGAAAGGTAGAGAAAAGTTGTACTGTTTCCTGTAGGGTTTGCTCTCTCCATTCTTTACTTGGACTCCTTCCGAGGGTTGTTGTAAAAGTTTGGAAAATTTGTGAAACTTGGCCTTATCAAAAAGCATGGGTCGCAGTTTCTGGTAATTTTTCAAGAGCTTAGTGATTATTATGCAATGCTTATGTAACCAGTAGAAAGCGAATGAAATGCTGCATCAAATGCTTCCAGAATCACTTACATATCTTTGTTCCACGAGATGTGGCGTACGTTTGAATAAAGCGACATTACTTTCGGAACGACCTAATACATTCCAAAATATAAGGAGCTCAGACGGTACCATAAAAGCTGGAATTTTTCGACAACATCAATCGTCACTTTGTTATAGACTGTTATAGAGCGGGAAATGAAGATCATCATTTTTGTTGATGTTTTCTGTTGTAACTGAATTGTAGAGGTAACTAATTTTGACGCATGCATCAGTGATTAAAGATGAGAACTGCTACCAGCACAAATAATCGCTTACAGCTACACGTAACTTTATCGAAAACAAAGTCTTGCTGTGTTCTGACTTGATGAAGCCGCTGACAATATCTGTGCTAATTGAGAGTCCCATTCTATTTCACTTAAAGAGATACCTTCATTTCTATCGATCTCTTACACTGCCCTTAGAAGTGCTTTGAGTGCAAACACCTCAGGTGTTTAACTTTCTATTTCTAATTTTCATCTCATATAAGGATGTTGAATTGAAAATCAGAGCACATGTTTTGCGAGGCACTATGCACTGTTACTGTATAATTACACCTAGTGCTCACAAATGGCAGTTTCTAAACTGATTTGATTCTTACTCGCATTCTACTACCCAAAACTATAATTTCTGTTCATATCACGTCCAAACTGGGTATGTGTGCTTGTTATCCACAGTGCTTGCTTTCATGCTTGCAACAAAGATGTAGGAGCTTTCCATCTACAGGAAGATGATCAACTCTTCAAAGCCAAACGCTGTTGATCTCTTTTAGTTTCATTGCATTTATCTTCATAGCGCAGTTTACATTTATGATAATACCAGTTATTAGTCTATCACACCTGCTATGGTGCTGTTAAATGCGTAGATAAGTGTTAAGTAACCAAAGTAACCAATCTGCATATTGTTATGTGAATTTTCAAATTGAGCACCTCCGGCCCGGCAATTTGCGAGCCTTAGAGTCATATTAAGAAATCTATTCGACAGATGCTGAAGGATGGAAATTACCGAAGCAAGTATGATTGCTAGTTTCAGCTAGTATTTGCTCTCGCTCTATCATTTTGCAAATCTGCTGTCTACGTAAGAATTTCGTAACTTAATTGCTTTTTTAATGTTCATTTGTAGTCGTTATACTCTGCAAGCAAATACAATTAATTTCGGAAGTTGTTTTCTTTTATTGAACATCTCAATATAAAGCAAATTCTAGGCGCAGTGCGAATAATTAGAAAGAAATAGCCTCAATTGTTCTATGAGGAAAGGCACAGACCCTTTTTCCTGCCACCCTTCTTCCCCAAAACTTGCTTTACTTACGAAAATCTTTATAGATGTTGTGCAACTAACTATATTGCATAAGTGATGGCGAAAGTTATTTCGATTTTTAATGTATGTGGTTAAAAAGATTTTTCAAGCTTTCATACAAAATGTATGTACTTGTCAAAAAATTTCTTTGAAAAACTCGCATATTACTGTAAGAGGTTACAGACCCCGCCCAATCCTCCTTCCTTCATGACTCAGCTTTTGACTCGAGTAGAATTATGTACCTAAATTGAAAAACAGTGCAAATTGGGCCCCCTTCTGTGGCTAATTTGTAATAGGCTTTCCCTTACATTCGTTTCACAATCTTCTTAGTTCATGATTGCATCGTTCATTTTGCTTCCTTGTCGTCCTCTTCTATCTTCGCACCCCGCCTAGATCCAAAAATAGATTTGTTAAAGTTTGGAATCTGTCGATGATTATGAACGCAGGAATCTTTTTACTGTAAAGTCAATGAATTTCGAGCCTCACAAAAAGAATCTGCTCAACTTAATCCGTCTAGAGACGTAGGTCACTTTATATTCAGTGGCTGGTATTATTATTCAATTCATCGAAATTCCCAATTAAGCACTGAGATCATGAGATTTTGACGTAATTATGGCAGAAGGCATAATTTTAGTTTGCAAAGTTTGCGACTAATTACTAGCCAACTGCATAATAAAAACATAACGATGCAGCTCGACTGCCCGAAACAGTCAAGGTTTCCAACCAATGAGCGACTTGTATTTGTGGATACATTATTTGTTCATTCCGCTATCTCTCTTCGTTTCTTCTGCTCCTTATTTGAGGAGAGATATGCATTTTATAGGAAATCCTCTCTCTCTCCTGTATGTCTAAATGCATTTAATGTTCCTTTCTCAGATTAGAATCAAAAATTTGTCAGATCTATGTTTTTCTTGAACTTTCGAATTAGTAATAGCATAAGCAGCAAAAATTCTGAATCTTGCTTTTTCTGGGGAAAATAGTGGATCAAGAGTGGTACGGAACTTTTTGCGATAAATACACAACACGACAGGTGATGATTCTACACAACATAGTTCTGATTCCAAATCTGCATAGGAGCCTTTCTCAACTCGAGCTTTCGAAATCCAGTCATATTCACTTGAGGAAGTCTATTAATTTGCCACGCGTTCATTGCGTGCTCACAAGTAGTATAGCCTCTAAGTAATGTTTTAAAATACTAAAAAATTATCGTCGTCCTGCAGCATATGAATCAGCTTTATTTTTCTACACCATTCTATGTGCTTTGGTATTCAGCTAACGTTTTTCCCTAAAATCGTTAGTACTCGAAATTGATGCGTTCCGTGTGACAAAAAGAATATTGTCCAACATTTGCGTCAATTCTGATTTCAGATGGTGCGTATAGCGAAGGAGAATGTGCTGTTAATCTTTACGGTACTTGGTGTTGTAGCAGGAATTATTCTGGGTATATCATTACGAGATCCTGATGCTAAATGGAGCAAAAGGCATTTGAGTTATTTGCGATTTCCTGGTGATGTCTTCGTTCAAATGCTCAAAATGCTGATTCTTCCGCTAATCATGTCAAGTATCATGTAAGTTGGCTATAATAAAAGGGTATTCATGGAGGGTAAACCTCATATATGCTAACTTTGGAATCCCACACCATCTATTGGCATCTTGCCATCAGGAAGTAGAGAAATATCATCAGTGAAGCACATTTTGCCGTCATTACACAGAATAAAGTAGATTTGAAAGAAAAATAGCAAATTATGACGAGGGGCACCAAGGAAGCCGCACTACCGGTATAGTTCTAAGCCCCGAAACCGGATAGTGTAGAAAATGAACAAAAAGGAATTGAATTTCTTGTGTTCCTAATTAGTATTTATCAAATTCTTTTTCATACTAAAAACCACAAAACCAGTTGTTATGTTTGTCCTTTGACTGCATATCTTCATTCCGCAATCCATGCCGCTCATCCCAAACTGGTTCGTGAATTCTTCCACTGGTGAGCTGCCCCACTGCAGCAACAGCGCCGTATCGTTTTTTATTGATAATTACTTGTTTTTCAAATTATTAGCAACCGCCTACCAGCCTTGACGTTGACCATTACCTCTGCTGGGACCAGCTCAAAAACGCTGGCACTTGCTTGTGTTGCTCTCTTGCTCACAGCATTTGGTCGGCAGCGCATGCGAACTTTTGGATTGAGTTACTGCATGCAGAACTCTTGTTTGGATAGTAAATATGGAAATAAGGGATCTATGCAAGCATATTTGATGAGATTAGGTTTCATGTCAGGCGTGCTGCCCTGCACAAGTGAAGAGATCCTAGCAATGAGTCGATTGATAACTTAACAATTAAATTTGAAAAGAATACCATGCGTGGGGTCTATGCTAATGGATGGTGGCTTTAAAGTAATTTGAGGATGCACAAACTGAGAGCTGTTAGCAATACACGAATCATCCTATCTATAACATAATCTATATGCTTTATCTTCGCATTTTCACAAGACTACTTGCAGAACAAGCTTGGCATCTGTGGATTCAAACACTGCTGGAAAACTTGGAATGATATCATTGGTATACTACTTCTTGACAACTATGATGGCCGTTATACTGGGTTCGTTTTGTTCAGCCTTGATAAAAGAGATTGATTAAAAAAAGCTGTTCTCCATTCATTTACTTTTCGATGATGTTACAGTAGCATCTAATCTACAAAACAACGTTTGGCTCTCTTAGCAGTCTTACTATAGATTGCTTTTTAGGCATTGTGCTGGTAGTTCTTATTCAACCTGGAAAGTGGATGACAACAAATATTGAAGAAATTGTTGGCGAAGTTAGCAAAGCTCCTTGTATCTCTACTGCAATGGATACGATTTTGGATCTAGTGAGGTCAGTCTACGCTTTCAGCCTCACCCAACAATCACTCACATGCAAACTCGTTTTTAGAGCATTATTCCCAGAAAATCTCATTGAAGCAACATTTCGATCGCACAAGGTCTGCATGAAGTTCCTAAATGGCTCCGAATCGGTAAATCCGGACTACGTGCTGAAAATGAGCCCAGGTTTGACATCAGCACAATTCGGCTTTGTACGTAAGGCAAAATTCGATTTTAGAGGCTCGCGCAGTTTTTACGGAACTTCCTGAAAAAATTACTTCCGATGGAATGAACATTCTTGGACTTGTTATGTTCAGTGTAGCCTTCGGAATAACAATCAGTTGGATTGGAGAGGAGGGGCTGGCTCTGAAAGCTTTTTTCAAAAGTCTTGAAGCAGTCAGCATGAAACTCATCTCCCTCGTTATCTGGTTGGTTTTGCCCGCTAGCACAACAGCTTTCCAGTACTGTCATCTCTCTGCAGGTACTCCCCCATTGGCATCACTTTCCTCATAGCGGCACAAATAGTTTCTATGAAAAATCCGGGAAAAGAGCTTCAGCGATTGATGGGTTACATGGTTACGGTATTAATCGGACTGTTCATTCATGGCTTCATTTTGCTGCCAATTCTGATGATCACCGTGAGCACTTATCGTTACCATTTCGATACAGATGCGTTCACTGAACGATATTCAGCTAGCCAGAAGGAATCCCATCAAGTATGTCTGCGGAATGGCTCAAGCACTTTTGACGGCTTTAGCTACGAGCTCAAGGTATAGGTTTTGAAGATTTGCTACTAACAGACAGAAAACCTCATTCTGCAAATTAGCTGACGATATAATAGTTGGCACATCTAACATAAATCTCTTTACGTTGTAAATCTAAGCTCCTAGTAGTAAGGCATGAATATGACTAGTTTTGTGTGCAAAGAAATTCTAAAGAAAAAAGTCGTCGTGGCCTGGACGCTCGCTCCATTCATTTTTCTTTTCTCCAAGCATATTATGGCCTTTAACCACTAATGCCTATCATAGCTCGGCTACACTACCGCTATCAATTAAATGCGTTGAAGAAAATAATGGTGTGGACTCTCGCGTCGCTCGATTCGTTCTTCCTCTTGGAGCAACGATGTAAGTTTTTATTCTAAAAGTGTTGAGTGGTTATACAAGCAGTAAATTATTATAAGTGTTAGTCGAGTTCTTCCAATTAATGAGGGGAGCGGCTGAAAGTAGTGCATTAATGTACTATATACATTTTTAGCGAGAAATCATCACAGCTTTTACATTTTCAATAAGTTTCATCTGAATTGAAATAATTTCCTGTCCACTTCTATCTCTAGGTGACTAGTAACTATTTATAGAAACATGGATGGTACTGCTCTGTACGAAGCTGTTGCTGCAATATATATTTCCCAATGTGTTGGAATGGAGCTATCCTTGGGTCAAATTATCCTTGTCAGGTGAGTCTGCACAGAGTATGACTTTACAATTACAACGTATCCGTTTCAGTCTTACCGCTACCCTCGCAAGCATTGGCGCTGCTGGGATCCCCCAAGCAGGTAATCATCATGATCTATCAATGTTCTAGTAACCTCGCTAAAAATTTTTTTAGGAATTGTTACCATGATCATGGTGTTAATTGCAATTGGACTCCCATCGAATCTATTTATTTTGATTTTTCCCGTGGATTTCTTTTTGGATAGGATTCGCACAACTGTCAACGTACATGGAGATAGTATCGGAGCTGCTGTCGTTGGAAAACTCTGCGAAAAATATTTGAAGCAAGGTCAGTCTAAAAAAAACGCATATCGCTATTTCTTGTAGATATCTCTTTCGTTAGAGTGAAAGTGTGCAACGTTGAGGCAACTCAACAACTCGGCAGAATAGCTTAGAATTGTGGTGAAATGTCATTTAAGTAAAATCATCCTTCACGCCGATGATTTCAGGATCTTCTGAAGTAAATGAACAAGGCTACAGTATGCTGTCAACGCATGCCAGTCCCGCTCCGTCCAAACGAATAAGCATTGGCAATCATCACTATGAAAACTCACATATGTTGTGAAATTCACAACTTTCCTATTAAGAACGCAATATTCACTATTTAAAGAATGTCGTAAAGTGTCAGATAGTGTTGTTCTAGTCATTGTCTTCACAGAATATATTACGATTTGTATCAAATGGTCAGGTCCCTATTTTTTTTTCGTTTTATCTCATTTTCGGTCTACAAGAATGTGCAGATGCCTATCTTTGCTCGAATTGCTTTATACCAAGCATTTCAAGCTTCATAGCATTCAGGTTTAGATAGAGAGCAAGTGGAGCGAAGTGTGGCAGAAATGTATCTACACGAGCAAAAGAAAGCGTTATTCTCGTAGGAGACATCATGTTCATACGTATTATCAATTTCGCTGTATATCGTGAGATTCGCAATTTTTGAAATGTTATATGAGGATCTTGAAAAAAATTGATATGACCGAAAGACGATTGTATTTTTGTTTGTGTGGTAGTGTCATTTCAGAAAATTGTACCTTTCTAAACTTATGATCTTGCCTTCCATGTCGGTAGAGTCCTATTTGTTGACTTACTTTCCATTTCCTTTTGTTTTCATTACAACAATGATCTCTACAAACCTTGTACAAATTTCTTCTTCACTCAAGTTGATACCGATCTCTTATTATATCTTATCTCTCAGCATTGATACTCTTTATTCGGAAAGCCTCCATAAATAGAATACGTAACATGTCGCCATCGGTATTCCTATCTTCGGAGCGATAATCAGGATCTCTTATTAGTAGGGTGTTGTAGATGAGCAACGAAGACATGAGCGCTATTTTATCCATTATTTATATTTGAAAAGAAATAAATGTGAAAAAAAGTTTTTCTATGTGAAAACACTAGACCTTTTGCACCATTAAGTGCATCAAACGTGAAAATATAATCGTAAGTTGTGAAGGAACATTTTCGGCCTTGAAGAAAACGCTTGTGATACTTGGGCAATGTAATAAAATTGTTTTGTCTAGATCTACGTATGCTTCTTGTCTAGGCGAGCATCAGCCTATGGTTCCTGTAGCTAGTGACTCATCAATTCTTGTCAACCAATTCCTTTGCTGGCACCTTTGCGCTTCATTAGGCGCGTGTGCATCGCAAAAGCACGAGAACTGAAGTTCTCGTAATGAGTACTAGGCTTTGTCTTGACTCTCCTTTTTTGTAAGCTATTTCAACTGATAATGTCACTTTAACCAAGGGCAACGCGACGAAATGAACGCGACAGCTTCGTCGCTTCAAAGTCCAGATGAATACCTTTGCGGTGAGGGGAGTGGGTGCCCTTAGCTTTGCGATGGGAGCGAGGTAGACCGTCGCGGTCCCTTCCAAGGGGTTCCGCTTTTTGATGCATCCGGACGTTTGACGGGCGAAGGAAAAGAATTAGAATCTCCATCTTATATATAAAGCTGAATGTCTGTTTGTATGTCTGTCTGTCTGTATGTCTGTACGTATGTTCCGAATAGAAAATTCCATTTCTGAACCGATCCGGACCAAACTTGGCACACATACACTACGGGCCCCGGCGGATGTCATAGGCTACTTTTCGTCATCGATCGATATCGATTTTATCGATTTTTATCGATTTTTTTGCTGAGTTCACCTACGGGGCTGGGAGTTGGCACAGGGGGGTAATCGAGCATGGGGATTCCGAATACAATATTGGTTTTCAGGATTATCGATTACTTTTATCGATTTTATCGATTTTTTTGCAAAGTTTGAGCTACGGGGCTGGGAGTTGGCACAGGGGGGTAATCGAGCATGGGGATTCCGAATACAATATTGGTTTTCAGGATTATCGATTACTTCTATCGATTTTATCGATTTTTTTGCAAAGTTTGAGCTACGGGGCTGGGAGTTCGCACAGGGGGGTAATCGAGCATGGGGATTCCGAATACAATATTGGTTTTCGGGATTATCGATTACTTTTATCGATTTTATCGATTTTTTTGCAAAGTTTGGGCTAGGGGGCTGGGAGTTGGCACAGAAGGGTAATCGAGCATGCTGATCACCCCCAAGGGGGATGATCAGCATGCTCGATTACACCCCTGTGCCAAATTCCAGCCCCTAGCTCAAATTTTCAAAAAATCGATAAAATCGATAAAAGTAATGGACGATCTTGAAAACTAATATTGTATTCGTAATCTGCATGCTCGATTACCCCCCTGTGCAAACTCCCAGCCTCGCAGGTCAAACTTTACAAAAAAAATCGACAAAGTCGATAAAAGTAATGGACGATCCTGAAAACTAATATTGTGTTCGTAATCAGCATGCTCGATTACCCCCCTGTGCAAAATCCCAGCCTCGCATGTCAAAATTTACAAAAAATCGATAAAATCAATAGAAGTAATCGATAATTCTGAAAACTAATATTGTATTCGGAATCCCCATGCTCACTTCCCCCCCCCCCCTGTGCCAACTCCTAGCCCTGTAGGTGAACTCTGCAAAAAAATCGATAAAAATCGGTAAAATCGACATCGATCGATAACGAAAAGTGGACTGTGACACCCGCCGGGGCCCGAAGTGTATGTGTGCCAAGTTTGGTCCGGATACGGCGGAGCCGGGTAAGCCAGCTAGTAATTTATATATTGATGAATTCATCAAAACAACAAGCAAACATAAGTGTTTGTATCAAAATCAAGGTTCACATGCAATAAATTGTATAAATGTTATGTGGAACGACTAAGATATTGCTTAGAAGACCCCCAAATAGTGATTTCCCAAACCTATTCAGACATCTCTGATAGAATCATGGCGGTATACCCGAAAACCATACTTTTTCACACTGGCCCAACGGAAGGCAAGTCAAGATAAAAATATCATTATAGTGTAGTGGAAGTACTAGCGGCCGAAATAGTGCTGGCTGTGAGTTGTGAGTTCCTAAAAAAGGTGAAAGTAAAATTACAAACTTTTTTTGAAAAGGATAAATACTAGTTTTACCACAGTTACTGGTTTGACTCGTACTCCAGTTCCTTCGGAAATCGGGATTTTTTTCATTGATTAAGATGCATTAGTGCACCTTCCAAGATAGAACAAATGCTAGGGCGCCGAGCGTATAAATACTTAAGCTATGAGCGAAGTTTTCAATCATAGAAATCATCAAAATGCAGATGTTATCGGTAAAGTCAGAATGGCTTAGTTTATTTTTGAATGTAAATGCACCACATAAATTTAGTGACCCCATTATAAGACTCATCCCTGACCCATCACACAATCTCGATATCCAAAATGCATTAGAGATGAAAGCTTTAGTCATAATATGGTGGCCTATGGCGAAAAGCTCCAATAACTGGTAATCATCGCACTGTTCTTATCCTCAGATGTCACAGAGAGTTTTGGTGTGCAGTTCGCAAAATGACTTGAGTTTTTGCATTCTTTTTCTGTTTATTGGAATTCATTCTCTAGCCATTCAAGCTGTTTCAACTGAAGTAAAATACCGTGTCCCATCGTGTTGTCATCTTAGGTCTTCGCATTCACCGTCTTTGAGCGAGACCCCCCCCCCCCTCCAAAGGAATTTTTTTTTGAGGACCTGAATGCGCTTGACGAAATTTGAAAGGTGAATTTCACTGCGGCAAGAAAGCTACAGTGGCACTTGAATTGCTAGCGCTTACATTGTCAGACATATACTAAAGCAGTGGAACGAGAATTTTTCCCTAATCAATTTATTGAGCAAATTTGAGCTTTACTTTACTTGTCGAGACGTATAAAGAGAAACTTTTAGGTAGAAAATGGTGAGCAAACGCACATTAATCTTCTGCATATTCGCTGTATTCTCCATAGCTGCTGAAAGAGTGGAAGAAGAAAAGGTGAACTCAGCCTTCCCTAGTTTTTAATTCCACATCTGTTCAGCAAAAAGTCAATACTTATTATTTAGAGGTTCCTCAGTGCACTCGGTGCTCCTCTCTAATGAATCTCAATCATAAAGAAAATACGAGTTGGTAGTACTTGATGCAAACCTCTGGCACACATGTGTTGGCTTCGAAGTTCACTGACCTTTGAGTGCAATTTGACTTTTTCTTTGTCGCCAGCTGTTCATTTTTCTCCAGTTTCTCCGTTGTGAAAGTAAACAGACATATTCATGCATGCAGTAAAAATAGATAGTCTAGCTCAAAAGTGCTCAGAATAGATTTTCTCTTCTACTTTGTGAACGTCCTTTGTGCTTTTCGCTTTTGAACCGGCGCCAGACATATGCTACAAAGGCGGCAGTAAAACTGCGAACGCTTTTAAAACGGATCATAGGTCCTGCTCAGGAATATAAGTGGTAAGAACTTAAAACATCCCATGCTTTTCTGATAGCTGACTCAAAATGTACCACCGGACCTGAGGAATTTGTTATTTGTGAGGACGCAGCTCTCGCTGTGAATTGTAAATCTATCACATCTGATAGCGCGATCAGCAGTGAATAATACTAAAAGTATGCTCTGATAAAAAATCCCAGTTTATGCTAAGATCTTGGAGCCATGTTCTCAGAGTTGCACTACAAAAGCATGCGACTAAGGATGTCGTACCCTCTTGTTTCATGAACCGGAATGTACTTGAGAATGAACCGAGTTATCCTTTGATTGAACTGAGTCATCGATACATTCCACAATGAAGCAGGTGCTCCCAAGGCACTATTGAAACATATAGCTCAATTACTGCAACTGACGCATGTCAGAAAAAGTGCAGATGGTCCACGTGAAATACTTATTCGATGTTTATAGATTGCTAGATCCAGGATAGAACGATGTGCACGTCAGTTTGATATCGTATTGAATTTTCTTTGTCGAGGCATCGATGAGGAAGACTGTGAACCATTCCGATACATAATTGGTGAGAATTTTTTTATGCATTGGATCTTGAAATGAGAGAAAATATCACTTCGATTATTTGCTTGTTGCAGTTATGTTACGCAGCATAAAAGACCAAAAACTTTGTAAGGTCGAAGAGATTTTGCCTTAGTTTCTCTCACAAAAATAGGTAGAAATGGAATTAAGTTTATTATGATTCATTTCAAAGATTCTTAGCGAAAAGCTGAGCTGTATTCACCTGCAGTTTGAATAACTATTTTCAGATCTGGATGAAACGGAGATGTCCGTGGTTCGAGAGCGCGTTTTGGAAAGAAAGTGTTGCCGACAACGCTGTTCCATTCAAGTATTGAGATCGCTCTGCTGCTTACAACGATGAAATGACTGTTGGTAGATTTCTCAATGTGCAAGGTTCGCATAACGGTGAAAAATGGACGTGAGTTCGGCTGGGCGACTCACCCACAATGTAGCATACGCGAAGTCGAACTTATGCCTCGCTTTGATTCAAAAAAAAATGCTTCCTTATTTGATGATTATTGCGGTAAAGCTTGTTTTTGGTCATCATGTGTTTGCTCAAGCTACAAAAATCATTAATCCACAATGGCTGTGCTCGAAGTATAAACCTTCGCATGACATACAATGTTAGGAAACCGCTTGCTGAAGGCAGGGAAGAACTGAGCTTTTTCGGTGGGAAGTTGCTTTGGGTTGCTCAACGGCAAAATTTTGAAAAGGAGATAGTACATCGGCTGAAGCTTCCACCTGTTAATAGCATTCCTAAGTTTTCATAAAAGTGAGACAAGAAACAGAGAAGCAGACTGATGTTTATGTAAGCAAATACAACGCAAGTTCTTGAAAACGTTCCGGATAATTTAGGCTGCAACCTCTTCTGCTGGAGCTGCTGATTCTTCCTGCTGTAATTTACAATAATCAGAGGAGAAATACCTTCCTATATGTCATATGCTCACCGGCGCTTGTTCCGCTTGTTCTGTAGGTTGCGCTGGCTCGTCATCGAAGTCTTTTTCCGGGAGCTGCAGGGGGATAGGAGCAACTGGAGGCTTTGCAGCATCACCTTCGGCACGAACTTGTTCCACATACTTTGGCGGCTCAAGATTTTTGCTGTAAAGGATATCAGAAGGGTTCAATAATTTCTAAGACGCAGCACAATTCATACCGAAGCTGTTCAAGTTCCTCGTTTTCCTTACGTCCCCAATCACTCGGAGGACGGGCAGTCCCATGAGCAATCGTAGGAAGTTTTGGGAGAGTCGGGTGCTCGAACATGTCTCGGCGATCGCCATAGGACCTGAAGTAGTCTGGGTAGAGGTAAAACGGTTTATATCTATGTGTTTATTACCTTCTATCCGTTTGGCGATCGAATTTTGAAGCAGTAGTGACCTTTGGTGGGTGCTTAGATGAGGCGGCTTCTTCAGGGTCAAGTCCTTTTTGGAGCGCCTTATTGCGAGCAACCTGCCTTTGTCGTTCATTCAGCTCTTTCACCTAAAAAACTTTGCATATTTTGAAAGACGCAAGCAGCTAAGAGATAAATTTTATTTTGCCTACATCGTACTCCTGCCTCTCGTGTCGCTTCTCTAGGTCGTATTTTTCAGCCTCCAACTTGCAGATGCGAGCATGAAGGCCTTTGATTCGCTCTCTCAAATCAGCTGGAAGAAGATTTGAGATATCGACGGCACGGCACACAGCAGCCAGAAACGATCGCTTTGCTTCCTCTTGTTGCTCTTTGTTGAGCGTATCCTTGTTCTTACCCTCAAAAACATTGACTTTCACTCTACTACCTTTGCAAAGAAGAGTGCCGTGACCGTGACGTCTTACACACCTGTGCAAGGTTTCCGAACTGTGCAGCTTGATCACTCTTCGTGATGGTGAAATTCCTTCCGGCGGCTTGTCCGTGTCCGGTTTGCGCTGCGAACGATCCGGCCATCATCTGTTGACGACGCAACCGCTCCTCATTTTTGCGACTTTTCTCCGCATCAGCGCGAGCCTTCCTTTCCTCCTACACAGACAAAATCATGTTCTGCAAATGTACCAGTTAACGAATGCACCTCTTCCTTCCTTCTGCGCTCCTCATCCTGACGTCTGCGTTCAGCAAACTGCCTTTCGTCCTCTTCACGCTCAAGACGTCTCTTCTCTTGTTTCTCCTTCAGTTCTCGCAATTCCTCATCGATTCGCTCCCTCTCTGCTTGACGTCGTTGTTCATAATCTTGCATTTTCATCGCTTCCTCTTCCTCGTGCCGTTTCTTGGCGGCCTACAATAAAACTCTATGACTGCCAGCTCTGTCTGATGCAATACTTACGAGCATAGCAGCTTCCGCCTCCGTCATCTCCGCGGGCGCTTTTTCCTCTTGTTGTGGAGGACGGCTTTTAGGTCTGCATATGTATACTGAGAGATGCGATGTTAGAAAATAACACATAGCTTACTTCTCTTCTTCGGCAGGGTGCTCATCTTCGTGACTGAAAAAAAACCCATGGTAGGCATGTAAGAGGAAATAGTTCGCAACACTTACTGCTCTTCTTCGCCACCTTCGGCGACTTCTTCCTCCTCTACCTCCTCCTCCTCAGAGCTTGAAAAAACAACCTTATTTTATGCAAATCTACTACCAAATCTAGCTAAGGCTAAAGCAAAAGATGGAACAAACGCGTACACTTCTTCCTCTTCGGACATGACTGGAAACCTGAAAAGTTACTGTCAGTTCGAATAATAGCCAGCTCTATAAGCATTCACAAGCATCATAATCACATAGCACTACTTCAAGCTCAACGAGATTTCACAGGCATGAGGAGCTGCGGAGGCCGAGCCAACTACAAAGCATGTGATCAGATGGCCGGCTAGAATCCGAATGCCGTTCTGACCACCGCATCCGGAGGGAGGGACAAACAGTGTAAAATCCTAGCGAACTGCCCGCGTAGGCGCTACAGTGCATCGTGAGTGCTGCATTACAACGCGGAATGCACTGATGGACGTCGTTCGAAGCGTGCTTCAATACCTCATCTCAAGACTGCTCAGCATGTACTGTTCATGTACTACGCCGATGTGTTTCAACAAATGAGAATCTGTCTACAGCGAATCTAGGCGAATTTCAAGTGGGAAGTAAGAAGATGGACTAGCTAACCGCTACGCCTGCATACGCTACTATGCTAGATATCAAATGTGCGTCAACATAGGAACCTTTTACCTCCAATCACCCTCAAACAACGCTCAACCCATCTTCTAAAAATTTCTGGACTGCAGCGAAAAGGAACTGATTGCATGTTTTATTGCTACTCGGTATCGTGGAAGATATTTCATGCAAGACGTTAGCAAGCAGGTTGAGATTCATGTGTTGGGCCGAATCACAAAGCAAATTATGTAGTTCCTTTCTGATACAACGAAGCAAAAATGAGGAAAAGCTAAATTCCGCGATTTCCAATACTAACGCGCTTCTCAACCTCCAGGTCTGCTGAGGAAGGGCACGCAATAGTTTTTTCAAAGCTTTGCCCTGAGATTGCACAGATTTCATAGCGACTAGTCGAGTTTATAATGAGCTCTAATCTCCATCGAGTTGCGATTTTGCAAACAAAAAGCTTTTGAGATGCTTTATCCAGGCTGAGAGCATATGCAATCATTTTTTTTGAGCGCATAATTGACGATGATGAGTCACCAAGAAACCAAATGTTGTTTCCGATCCGAGGTTCGTTGGCTGCTGGGAGAGACTCATACCGAATGTTTTGCACTGACACGTTAGACTTCAACTGTCTGCGACTAGTTGCGGTACAAAGTATAGCAATATTTCATTTAAATTTGATTTACTTGAAAAAAGAACATAAAACAGTAAAACAGCATTGTTAAAAGTAAACAATTATTATTACAGATGACAAGCAATAATCACAAAGTATCACAGTTCCCACCGAGTTCGAGCACAGGGATTAACGTCTCAATATCATTGGTTAGCATGACTCTAACATCAAGTACTAAACTATCTGTCTATGCTTATCTACGTTTCGCACATTGCGGCACATTTGCTGGATAGTCGCAAACCGAGAAATCTGGATTGAAGACTGTTCCTGAGGGGCAGTGCATCTTCTCCAAGTGGTTCCACGAACATCGATAGAAATACTGACAATTGCTCTCATGTGGTATCAGTTCACCATGGTTTGCTCCTCGACAGCCTTTCATCTCTGCAATTTACAACATCATAACTTACAAGGTCTCAAGAATCCGACTTCAATAACTCTTTACCATCTGCTACAGCGGATGATGATTTACATTCCGGTACCGCGTCTCTGTAGTCACATTTGCTCTTAGCTTCGTTGAACACTAATCCAGATGAGCAAGGCGGGTACTCATATACGTCTCCACCGAAGCACTAAAAGATTTTGCGCCTCATTCCACGGCTTTTATGGTGGTGAATTTGAATGTGGCAATATAGTACCTGAAGGATTCCCGTACAATCGGAAGGATTTCTGTATAGTCCATCACTTCGCACTTTGCAGAACATGGACAGATCATTTGATTCCACGGAAGCTGACGCGTAGGTATGTACTATTTTCTGTTGTGTATGACATTCTGGAGCAGTAGCTCGCGACGCACAAGCATTGGATACTGCAGAAAAGACTTCTCCAGCGGGACAGGGCTCGATGTGTGCCTCTCCCCCGACACATCTGAGGTAAGTGGAGCGACAGCGACCGAGAGACTTCGTAGTGCCGTCGGCGGATCCGCGACATCTCTCGTCTTTCTTATGAATTACCTTTGATTCGGCATTGTCCACGAGAGCAGCAGCCTTTGGCGGAGCAATGGTGATCCAGAACATACATGAATTTACTGTATAAAAAATGACATTTCCTACCTTGTTGAGGACAGCCTCCAATTTTCGCTGTCCACATTGCTCGGCGGGGACACACGTGCTGAGGTGTGCATCAAACAAGAATCCGACAGTGCATTCAGCACGTTCTAGTACCCCACGCTTTGAGCACAGTCCATACTTCCGCGCACAGTAGTCGAGGGCGAATGTCTGTCTCTTCTCATTGAATACGCATTTAGGAGGCTAAATAAGCACTTTCATTCAGCTCAGCAGAACTAATATAGATACATATCACTCCACCTCGGTTGTGGACGTCGTTTGCACAGTGGTAGTTACCACCTGCGTGGTAGGAGCGTCTGCGCCCTTGTACTCGGCGCATTCGGATACGAACTCTCGGAAGTCGCAAGTAATCGTAAGCGGATTGAATACGAGCGGGTTGGAGCAGTGGAATTCTAGAAAAAAAACTTTCAGAAACCTAGCAAATTATGCGGTGATGTTCACATCCACCAAAAGTATAGCATTATAACAAAACTACTCACCGCTGAGTTTTCCATCTGAACAGACAACGAATTTCGACGAGCAGCGCCCAAGCGGCTGCAGCGGAGCCGCACAGCTATGGGCATGCACACTCGCAGGCGTTGTGGTTCTAGCCACGACGGGGGAATGCACCGATGGAGTAGGCTCTGAAAAAGGTAGTAAATACAGATGAACCTGCACTCATCTAAAAATGCACGTACCATCAAGCGATCCACCACAAGCAACTACCCTTTCTTTGAAATCACAGGTCTTACGAGTTGCATCGAAGAAGGTACCAGCTGGACAATTCATAGACGCTTGCATGCGACCACCCGCACAAATTATGAAGGAGGCGGTGCAGCCCTCTCCAAGGAGTCCGTCTGGGGATGACGTGCATAAATCTGAATTCTCATTCTTACTAACCCTAGCTCATCGTTATGCAAATATGCCTGGAGCACCTGGACGATTAGCAGTGTGCGGCGATGGAGCCGAAAGCACAGGTCTAACCAGCTTTGGCTCTTCTTCTTCCGGTCGATACGGATAAGGTTTAGGTTGCGGCAGAAGGGAAGGAGCTTGGCTGGTACTGCATCCTGCTACATGTTGTGGGTAGTCACAGTACTGTCTAGTCTGATCGAAAACCAATCCCTGAAATGAGATTTCAGTTGTTACAGTAATCAGAATAGTTTACGAAACCATCAGTGGAAACGGACCTGAGGACATTTCATCCTGTAAGCGATGCCGTTCGCACATCTCACATAGTTACCAGAACAGTCCAGTGCATAATCCACGTTGGTGGAGCAGTCGTAAGGAAGCTGTGCTTCCGACAATGAGGGCGATGGAGACACAGTGGTGTGCTCCACGGGATGCGGTTTCGGAATGGGCACCGGATGTACGGGAATTGGTCGACTGTGCTCAAGTAGAGAGTGCGTAGTTGTCTTGTGGTGTGCTGGATGCCCAAGTCGTTTGCGGGGCCTGTAGATTGGAGGTTTGCGGGGACGAGGTGCCATTGTAGAAGCAGTGATGTCTTGTTTGACTTGTTTCTTCTGCTCTAAAGCAGTGGCGCTTACAGCAGGTTACGAAAAAAATCCGATTATTACCTTGCAGCAATGGCTCATCGTACGATGCGTCTTCCCCACAGAACTGTGAAGACACGCACTTATTTAGCTGAGCATCGAACAGGTCGCCGATAGGGCATGCAGCTCTCTAAATCATAGGACGAGGAAAGAGTTAGAGAGATTGAGAATAGAAAAACATACCAATCCAGCACCAGCAGCTCTGCAGATGATAAAGTCTTGATGGCAATTTCCTAGCGAAACAAACTCCGAGGTGCTTTTGGCGGTGCACATTGAATAATCATGTTTTGTCTTATGTGTGACAGTAGAACTTCGCTTTCGCCTTGTTATCACCTCTTCACCGGATGCCTGACACATGGTACGATAATCATTTGACTACAATCAAATCTCTTAAAACTGAACCTTTGCTACCTCGGCAATGTCCTCTACCTCGTCATTCTCATTTTGGTGGCTTACACCTTGAAGGGGTGACTGAGCATTTACGGCACCAGCATTGCTTAACGTTTCCTTGACCACTGCATTACGAGCTGCACTCTTACTTATTGGTGTCTGAAGAGAATTAACAAGTCATGACAAGGAAAAAAATCTTCTACATTGTTCCCTCCACAGTATTTTGATCAAAAAGACTCACTGTTGTTGTTTGTTCTTGGTTCCTGTTTCTCACCTGCAATCTAATCATTTTGAAGATACTGGATTATGATCGAAACATTGCCAAAAAATGTTGACTTGCCTCAATCGGCACTGGAAGCTCTACATTGTGCAGATCGTTACCGAACAGCCTTCGCACATTCATGTCCTGTTCATCGGAGCAATCCTGAGAGTCTCCACATCCGCTACGATCGCGATCGTGACCATGTTTTCTGTGCTTCTTATAATAGGGCACGAAAATGCGATCTATGCCTCGAATGAGGTAGGGGCTAGCGTGTCCATCAAAGACATCTTTCACATAATGGCGGTGTCGGTCAGCGATCATGGATCTTTTCTCGAATGGAATCGTCCCCTTGTTTATCTTATCTGCAAGAAGTACATTCAGGACTACTTGAAAAGAAAAATATTCTGCAAACCTCTTCTATAGAAGTCGTCGCTGACTGTCATAGGTAGAAATTGAATTTGCGGTGGGAATGGGTGCGCGTAAGGCGGCTGAACTGGCAGGTACGGCGAATGCGAAGCTACTTGTGATGCCACTGGAGTGAACGACTTCGGAAGTGGATGAGCATGTGGTATCTGATATGCAGGTTCATATTCCAGCGGATTAGACACAGGAGCCTCCTGTAGGCATTCGGGCTGGTCGTAGACACATAAGGAAAGAGCCTCGTTGAAAGTTGAAGATCCAGGACACTGCGCAGGTACTAGCTTTCCATTTGAGCAACGCCTGAATTTCGGCGAACAGCGTCTCAGTGCTTGATTCGACACACATTTCTCCTCGGTTGGAGATGCAGCTACCTGGCTTCCGCATTCGTAATCGCATGAACCTAAACTTCACAATTATGAAAGGAACAGTCATTTAACAAAAAATATACGAAAAACTATTTCACACCTTTCCCGGGATTATAGACGAGTCCACTGGGACAGAACTGGACATACGCTCGTCCATTCGAGCACATCACGAAACGTCCCACGCATTCTCCAATCTGGTAGTTGCCATCTGGCAAGGACGTGCAGTCATAATCTGCAAACAAGCCAACTTCGCTGCACTCTCATCCAGTAAAAGAAGCAAACCTGTGCAATGCTCTGCCTTCAGAAAATCCCTGGAAGTAGTGATTACAACTTTTTGGGAAGCAGGAGGCAGTACGGGTTCAGTATTTTTTGGAGCTATATTGCACATCGATGGCCATTCACATCTAAAAAACCGTCGTTAGAAAGTTCTTTCTCGAAATATGAAGCTGATGTACCTGTGTGACACGAATGAAAACAGCAATCCAGGGGCGCAATTCATGGTGTAAAGGGCTCCATGAACACAGAAGGAGAACGATGATCTACAGTTCGAGTGTTCTAGGGGACCAGAGGTCTTTCCAGCACACAAGTCTTCTAAATGCAGGTTGAATATGAGTGTTCTTAGCAACGGGAACTGTGATCACTTCCAACTGCCGTATCCTGATAATGCACAGCAGCCGTTTGTGTAGGCTCAGCTACAGGCGCTACTGAGGAGTGCTGTTCCTTCCCACACACATTAGGATAATCGCAACTGAAAACATCGATTTACTTTTTACCTCATTCCAAAACGATCATTATAAGGTACTAACAGTTTTGCTTTCACTGAATAAACGAGTCCCGCTGGGCAGTTTGTAACAAAAGCAGTACCAGCCAGGCAGGTGGTGAAGTGTGGCTGGCAATCGAGGTCACTAATCACTCCATCTGGTCGACCCTTACAGGAATTGTCTGTACAACAACGATTACAGCAACCCACAGATTCTTGAAGGATGACGAACCTTGGCTAAATTCGGTTTTAGGCACTGTTAGAGTTGTGGGCGAACGCTGTTTGCTTTCCGTAATGCCCGCACAGCTCTCCACATTTTCGCAGACAGACTTGTTAGAATTGAAGACCAGCCCAGCAGGGCATTTTCCGGCAAAGAGCTTGCCATGCACACAGTTATAGAACTCCACAGAACAATAGTGTGCAAAATATCCTTCAGCTTCGCATTCTTGAACGAAAATTTCGCATATGTGAACACAATAGATAGATGCTATTCTACCCACCTGTATCTTCACGACTAGAACTCACAATGGGCTCATACGCCAATGGACTGCTTACATTCTTCGGCCTGTGCAGCTGTTTGCAGGTGGAGGGCTCATCACAGACACCAAGTCGTTCTACGAAAACTAGCCCTGCAGGGCAATGCAAACTGTAGGTTCTTCCGTCGACGCATTGCAAAAATTCTCCAACGCATCCGAGAGAATGCAAGCCATCTGGTTTACCGATGCAATCTAAAACTAACTTCACATGGTAAATCACACTAAAAATGTCGAAGAAAACTGACCGTCTCGTGTGGTCTGTGGGCTATGCAGTGCAGCTGTGGCCTTGCCATGTTTCTTCCCAGCTGATTTCTCGCCGCAATCTTTTGAGAAGACACAGCGATTAGTTTTAGCATCGAAGACCAAGTCCGAAGGGCAGTTCATGGTGTAGGCCACTCCATTGGCGCAGACAGCGAAGGATGAACCGCAGTGTGATCCATACATGCCATCGGGAAGGTCTTTGCATTCTAAAGATGTCGCTATTTCGAAAGCAGGTGGACGACAAAGACCTTTTACAAACGGTTTCATATTCCACTTACCGCTCGAGATCCTAGAAGTACTTGGTTCAGCCGTTGGGATAGGTGTGTCTGCAGCAGTCTTGTCCTACAAGAAAAGATATGTGCCATGAGTTCCACAATTGAGTCGGTATCGTTACCTTTTTCCCTTCATGACATTTCTCCTTGTAATCGCAGTTCCCCTTAGCGAAGTTGAAGACCAAACCTTCGGGACATGTCATTACTTGCGCAACATCGTGAGAGCACACTACAAACTCCGACGTGCAACCAAGCGAGAAGACTCCAGTCGACTCGGGGCAAACTGAAATTTTCTTGAAAGGGTGAGGTAAGAGGAAAAAATACACTTACCAAAGCTGATCTGCGGTTTGGAAGGTGGTGCTGCGACAGAATGCCTCTGTTCCTCTTCGGGAGAACAAACTTCAGGGTAGTCACAGTAGTTCATTTCTTGATTGAAAACTAGCGAGGAAGGGCATCTCTAGAACAAATGTTACGCTGCTATTGAATAAAAACGACCAATGATGCAAAGGGTGTTTGCTTACCAATCGAGTCGTGACTCCATCACTGCAATGAATAAATTCGGACGAGCAACCATCAGAATAGTACCCGTCCGGTCGTCCTTTGCAAATGTGCTTGCTAGAATTATGTTGAGAGCTCAAGTTTCGCTGCAAAAATCCATGCGATAGAACTAACTCTGCTGATGACGTCAAAGTGGCAGCTGAATCCTTGGATGGTCTCAGAACAGACTCCGCTTCGGATCTACCACCACACTTTTCCGAATAGTCGCAATATCCAGCCTTCTCATCGTAGACCAAACCCGCTGGGCATTTCTGCAAACAAACAATGCAAGTGAACGATAACATATATAAATAACTAGATTCTTACGAAATATGAAGCCTTTCCCTCAGAACAATAGACAAATTCGGAAGAGCATCCTTCCGAGTAGTATCCATCTTCACGATTATAGCATGTAAGATCTCTGAAGAATAACTTACTAGAGAAGACAAGAGAGTTGCTATAATTTTGGAAACTCACGACGACGGTGGAGGAGACTGTTGAGAGGTAGGAGGCTTGTGAACGACTGCCGCACCGCCAGATTGACAGCTTTCTGGGTAATCACAATATCCATTCTTTTCGTTGAATACCAACATTGGCGGGCACTTCTGCAAAGGAAAGCAAATTACATCTAATACCATAATATGGTCATGATTACCATAGCTGTTGCCACACCATCACTACAGATAACGAAGTCATTCGAGCATCCTTTGGAATAATGTCCGTTCGGGCGTCCTGCACAGTCCACAGTACTGAAAAACCAATTCCTTTACACATACATTTCGGACTGCATGCTAGTAATGAAAGATCTAAAACTAACCCAGAAGGCGATTGTGCATGTTGCTGTGTGGGAAGTGGTACCGTTGGTGGAGACTGGGGTGGTACATGGGTTGGCGTGGCTACGGGGACAGTTTTCTTGCAATTTTCCATGTAGTCACAGTACCCTTTTCCCTCGTTAAAAACTAACGACGCCGGGCATTTCTGAAAAGAAACTGTCCTAAATGCCCCAGCGTCCCAGTCTTGCTAACCATTGCAGTGGCGACTCCGCCGTGACAATACACAAAATCAGATGTACATCCACTCGAGTGGTACCCATCACTACGACCTGCACATTCAACCCTTAAACAAAGGAGATAGTATAACTATGTTTTTCTAGCCGGGATCAACAATTACCTCCATTATTCGATGCAGGCTCAAGCCTCATTATGAAATTAAAACTAACCCAGAAGGCGATTGTGCATGTTGCTGTGTGGGAAGTGGTACCGCTGGTGGAGACTGGGGTGGCACATGGGTTGGCGTGGCTACGGGGACAGTTTTCTTGCAATTTTCCATGTAGTCACAGTATCCTTTTTCCTCATTGAAAACCAACGATGCCGGGCACTTCTGAAAAGAAACTGTCCAAAATGCCCCAGCGTCCCAGTCTTGCTAACCATTGCAGTAGCGACTCCGCCATGACAATATACGAAATCGGATGTACATCCACTCGAGTGGTACCCATCACTACGACCTGCACAATCAACCCTTAAACAAAGGAGATAGTATAACTACCTTTTTCGAGCCGAGATCAACAATTATCTCGACTTATTCGATGCAGGCTCAAGCCTCATTATGAAATTAAAAACTAACCCAGAAGGTGCGTGTGCTTGATGTTGTGCGGGTAGTATCGTGGGCGTGGAATGGATTGGTACAGGGGTTGGCGCGGCTACGGGGACAGTTTTCTCAATGCAGTTTTCCATGTAGTCACAGTATCCTTTTTCCTCGTTAAAAACCAGCGAGGCCGGGCATTTCTGAAAAGAAAACCGTTCTAGATGTCCCAGCATCCTGGTCTTGCTAACCATTGCAGTAGCGACTCCGCCGTGACAATACACAAAATCAGATGTACATCCACTCGAGTGGTACCCATCACTACGACCTGCACATTCAACCCTTAAACAAAAGAGATACTATAACTACCTTTTTCGAGCCGGAATTAACTTACCTCGATTTAATCGATGTAGGCTCAGGCCGAGCAGGTGTCACTGAGGGCGACAGAAGTGACTGGGTATCGAGCTTACTGGACTTCGAGCAATTTTCCATGTAGTCACAATAACCGTTCTTCTCGTTGAAAACCAATGGTTGAGGGCATTTCTAGAACATGGCTGTTAGCAATAATAGTTTCGCTTATATCCTGTAAATACCATCTTTATCGCGACGCCGTTGCTGCACTGGACAAAATCTGAATGGCATCCATGCGAATAGAAGCCATCTATTTTTCCACTGCAATCCAGCGATCCTACTGCGGCTGACTGGGTCGACAGTTTAGGCAATGTAGGCACCGGTCTTGGAGGCTGTGTTTGGGGAGTGATGGGCATCCTTGAGCAGTTCTCAAAGTAGTCGCACTGTCCCTTCTTTGCATTGAACACAAGAGAAGCAGGGCACTTCTAAAATATTGCGCTAAAGCTTTTTTCGGACACCCTTATGCGCTAACCATCAGAGTTGCGACTCCTCCCGCACAGAACACAAATTCTGGTGAGCAACCATTTGAGTAGTAACCGTCATCCTTTCCAGAGCAATCGAACGAGCTGGAAAAGCAAACATATTTTCTCAAACTGTGCATTCATTGTGCGATATTTTGGCGCTTAGTAGGGATGCACTTGGGCAAGTCATAGGAGTTCAGCAACAACTCAGACAATCGCCGGGGGCAGGCGGGCACCGGAAATATAGATTGCTGATCTCTCGCACCCCGCTCGCGGATTTTTTGGAAAGCAATCAGGACTTTTCGGAAGACCGCTTGCTGAGTTCCCGATTCCTCAGAGATTCAGCAATATATCTGCAAAAGATAAGAGCGAAAAAAAATTCAACAGGCGGTCTCTCAAAAATCCGCTGACTCAGCAAGCGGTCTTCCGAAAAGTCCTGATTGCTTTGCAAAAAATCCGCGAGCGGGGTGCGAGAAATCAGCAATTTATTTTTCCGGTGCCCGCCTGCCCCCGGCGATTGTCTGAGAATGTGCGCTTGGGAAAAAGTTCTTACAGCCAAACCAACCTAGCTGGCTGAGGATGAGCAGTTGGTGCAGTCGGTGATGCCGAGTGCTGGCCTACAGTCACATGCGCGGCCTGTTGAACTGTCGGTACCACAGTGGACTGGTGAACCGCATGCGCGGGTTGTTGCACCACAGGCGCAGGGGCGGGTTGTTGAACCACAGGCACAGGAGCGGGTTGTTGCACCATAGGCAGAGGAGCGGGCTGTTGCACCATAGGCGCAGGGGCGGGTTGTTGCACCATAGGCACTGGTGGCTGGTGCGGCACGGATACCTTTTCAGGCAGTGGAATCTTGGTCGAGCAGCGCTCCGGGAATTCACATTGCCCTGTATTTTGGTCAAACACCAGAGATGGAGGACATCTCTAAACACTCAAATTTATTACAGAATTTCAAAGTTCTATCCTCACCATGGGTGTCGCGACTCCATCCAGGCAGTACGCAAAGGAAGGCGAGCAGCCATTCGCATAGTATCCGTTAGGTTTTCCTGTGCAGTCGACAACATCTGGCACGAGTGTAGCTTGAGGTTTGTGCGATACTGTACTTGCTAGCGGCATTGGACTCGACCCCTTGTTGCAGTTTTCTAGATAATCACACTGCCCCTTCTTCTGATCGAAGACAAGTGGAGTAGGACATTTCTGCAAGAATTTTTCCACCAAACATTTCAAACTCCATTACATAAAGGATACCATTGAGACAGCCGTCCCTTCACTGCAAAGATAGAATTCTGCAGTGCAACCGTTAGAATAGTAGCCGTTTGTCTTTCCAGTGCAGTCCATACGCCTAATGAAATAACCGTTACTAGCACAGATCAGCAGCTACGATACTCACTTCACAGCCTTCAAGCTTTGTTGCTGGACTGTAGGTGTAGGTAAATCGATGGTCATTGATGGTTGTGTGTGTCCTCCTTTCCCACAGTTTTCCACATAATCGCAAAAACCTTTTCGTTCATTGAACACAAGCGTGTTTGGACATTTCTAAAAATCTTTTGATAGACACAAAAGTTGCCTGCATGCTTCGCCATTCGAAGTACAACATTACCATAACAGTCGCCATTCCTTCGCTGCAAAACACGAACTCTACCGAGCAGCCATTGGAATAGTACCCGTCTTTCTTGCCAGAACAATTCACACTAAGAAAAAGAATTGAACTCTGAGCAATTGTCACGAGAGTTAGATAATATGACGTACGGGAAGGTCGTTGTAGAATGCGCATGCTCAGCGGTTTCTTTCACTACAGGGGCAGCTGAAGGTGAACTTGGCAGCACAGCGGCTATTTCTAACGTAGGTGATACTTGTGCGCAGTTTTCTAAGTAGTCACAGTGACCTTTCTTTTCATCGAACACTAGGGCAGCTGGGCACCTCTGAAAAAGAACCCTTGAGTTGTACAAATTGGCAGTGTTTCTACTGAATTTACCATAGTTGTTGCTGTCCCTTTGCTGCATAGTACAAATTCCGAAGTGCAACCGTTTGAATAGTAACCGTCCTTCTTTCCTGCGCAATTCACCTGCCTGAAGCAGCAGCATACATTACATATCGCATTTGTAGAAGAATGCATACGAAGGGCCAGACGGTGCAGCCGGAGGAGCCGGAGGAGGTGAGGAAGATGTTGAAGCATCTTTAGCTGGCGCTGCTGGAGCCTCCACTAAGCAGTTCTCGACGTAATCGCAATGCCCCTTCTTTGCATTGAATACCAGCGAGGATGGACATTTCTGTAAGTTTTTTTTTGTCAGAACTTTATATCGCTTCGGTCTCTAGACTCACCATGGGCGTCGCTTTCCCTTCACTACAGAAATAGAATATGGAAGAACATCCACTTGAATAGAAGCCATCCATCTTTCCTTTGCAATCGAACATTCTACAGACAAGTATTTTTTGGAAAGTAAATAAAAAGTAAGCAGTGTTCACGATATCAAGCAACTTGGACAATGAAAACTTTCGCTGTAAGTTCATATAACCTCAGCGAGAGTAAACATCAGTACACCCAATGGTATCTACCGAATGAAGTAAATAACAGAAAACAAAGTAATAACATACTTTTGCTGAGACACGGCAGGAGATGCATCAGGAACTGGTGCTGTCAGTATCGGCTGCGCCACAGTAGAAGAGATGGCTTCTAATGATAATTGTGCCTCCACTTTTATAGAACAGCTCTCCTTATAATCACATCTTCCCTTTTGTGAGTTGTAGACTAATGAAGGTGGACAAGACTGAAAAACAAAAATGAATTGGAAAAATTTTGGAAGCCCCCCCCCTATTTTACCATTGTGGTTCCCACGCCTCCAGAACAGAAGACAAAATTGGGTGTGCAACCACTGGAATAGTATCCGTCCTTTTTTCCGGAGCAGTCAACATCTCTAAAACATAAATAAGCTGGCTGATCATTGCAAGCATACAACCTACATTGTATGCGTCTTCGCATGGGCAAGAACGCTCTTGGATTCCACGGATTCTGGCGTCGGAGTAGGCACAGCAGCAGGTTGCGCGGGTGTCTTACTGGCCACACTTTCAGTAGGGAGTACCGATTCGGAATGGCCTACTAGATTCTTCGAACAGTTTTCCAAGTAGTCGCAATGTCCTTTTTTCTCGTCGAAGACCAGTGTCGGAGGACATTTCTGTGGTGATCAAGGTTTGAAAAAAAAACTACTAGTAATATTCAGTAATGGACTACCATCGTCACCGCCACTCCCTCATTGCACAGTACGAAGGTGGAGGAGCAACCTTTGGAGTAGTAGCCGTCCTTCTTTCCAACGCAATCAATTTCTCTAAAGTATCACAAACAAAGCGTAATTTCAACAAAGATGTTGGAAACTTCTCCACTCACAATGTCATTTGCGATGCTGTATGTTGAACGACACTTTGCACCGAATTCGTGGCAGTAACTGCCAAAGATGGTTCGACTGACGCTTTTAAGCAATTTTCCAAATAATCGCAGGCTACTTTCTTTTCGTTGAATACCATATTAGAAGGACACATCTGAAAGCAGTAAAAATGTTCTTAAGAGTTTATAGCCGTAATCAGATGAAGATTACCATTGCAGTGGCTACTCCTTCAATGCATGCAACGTAGTCAGGTGTGCACCCAAGGGAATAGTATCCATTAGATTTTCCCTTGCATTCAAAAGACCTGTGATTTCTCCGTATTATTATCAGTGGTAAATTCATTACCGTTGCTATACTTCCAGAATTGTCTGAGACAAAACCAAAAAGAAAAAACGAACTTTTGAGCAGCGGGTTTTGGTATCTCCACGGTTGGGGCAGGAGTGATGAAGGGAGATGGTATTGCCAAAGATGTTTTGACCTCTGTCTGACAAGTTTCTAAGTAATCGCAACGGCCCTTCCTCTCGTTGAATACCAACGTGTGAGGGCAGTTCTGGAAGATCCCTGTGCTTGATCATAACTTTCTTTTACTTTAGAAAGGGAGTCACCATAGTAGTTGCTAAACCATTCTCGCAGTAAACATAGGTGTTAACGCAGCCGCTTGAATAGAACCCATCTTTCTTTCCATTGCAATCCAACCTCAAAAGGTAAGAGAGAGATCTACTGTCACTAACTACTAACTTACTTGTCGCCAAGAGACACGAGAGCAGCCTGGTGTTTGGCAGTTGTTACAACCTGCACACTCTCATGCCTGGTCACCTCAGGGCTAACATGCGTATGATGAGGGTTGGGTGTGCAGCTCTTCTCGGGATAGTCACAAATTCCCTCATCTTCGTTGTAGACTAGCGAAGAAGGACATTTCTAGAATGAAGCTGTAAGCTTACGAGAAGGCTAGGGCACTTTAATTACCAAGGTCGTCAAAATTCCGTCATGGCAATGGACATATGAAGAACTACAACCGAGTGCATAGTAACCATTAGCTTTCGTCTTACAATCGATGGTGCTACAATGAAAACGTTGACTAGTTCCAAACATCACTAGCCACGCACCTAGCCTACCTTTCATGTGCCGCAGTCAGGATAGACGCAGCCGTCACCACGGATGCTGTTTTCTCCAAGATGGGTGGAGCAGAAATGCAACTTTCGGGATAGTCGCAATTCCCCTTTTGTTCGTTAAATACTAGTCCAGTAGGGCAATTCTGAAACAGATATAAAAGAAATGTATCAAAATTTGTGTAGTTCATATACCATCATTGTTGATTTTCCAGCATTGCAAAAGACAAAGTGTGCCGTGCATCCACTTGAATAATAACCGTCTTCCTTACCTTCGCAGTCAACAGGACTTCAAATAAACATGATGGCTCTTAACAGAAAATTCGTATTTGCGCTTATTTATGATACCTTAAAACCGTCTGCGACTGAAGTGATGTGGAATGTTGTTGAGGCTGTGACAATGCTTCAGCTTTAGGCATGTTTATCTCTCCTGAGCACTCCTCTGGATAGTCACATAAACCTTTCTTTTGGTTGAATACAAGTGATGACGGACATCTCTGCAAAAGACATAAAGAGGATCATATGAAAAGCTCAGCAGTGAATACCATAGCCGTTGCGATCCCTTCGTTGCAAAACACGTAATTAGGCGTACAACCATTCGAGTAGTAACCTTTTTCTTTCCCATCGCAAAAAACAGCTCTGAATTATGCTCTCTCAGAAAAATGGTTTAAAATTTCCAAAAAAAAACTTACGTCACTCCTGGAGCAGCTCGAACTGGTGCACTGGTTGTAACGCCTGGAGCTTCCGCCGCACAACTCTCGACATAGTCACAACGCAGTTTATTCATGTTGAACACTAGTGAAGATGGACATTTCTAAAGTTTTACATCAAAATATCTGACGTCTTAGTTAGGACCTCGAAAGGTACCAGGGGAGTTGCGTTCCCATCGTTGCAAAAAGTAAATTCCGGGGTGCATCCTTCCGAATAGTAGCCATCCCTTCTTCCCGCGCAGTCTACAGTCCTAGAAAACTTTAGCTGTTTCATGACATACAGCTCCACTGAAGAAGAACACTTACGAGACTAGCTCTGCCTTCTGAGTCACTTCGAAATGGGAGCTGTGCTTCAATCCTGGACTTTCGACGGCAGCAGAACTTGACATCGAATCCGTTGAAAGTGAAGGTTTTGCGTGCTGCTCGCTGCAGGACTCCCGATGGTCGCAATATCCCCTTTCTTGGTTGAACACCAGATCGTGAGGACATTTCTTGAAAACGTATCATAGTGGAACTTCTGAATAAATCAAACTTACCATAGAAGTGGCATGTCCATGGTCGCAAGAAATGAAATCACTAGTGCAGCCTTCTGAGTAGAAACCGTCTTTTCGAAGGGAACAAAATGAAGTCCTAAATCAACTATGACACTATCTCAGTAGATCCATGTAGGGGGTGGTGCAGGAGGAACCAAAGGGCTGCCGCCTGTATCCGCAGAAGATAATTAAGAGCACGAGCGTTGTGGAGAATATTTTGGCAGGGATCCAAGAAAACTCGGCAAGGACATCCTTTAGGAAGAAATCTTCATAACCTCGCCTGGAGATGACTTTGAAAAATTTAAAAAAATATTTGTAATGCAAATTGGAAGGCGCATTCACTGGGCCTAAAAGTAAATAAAATTTGGAATTGTAGTGAATAAAAGTCAACTACCTTACAGAAACTTTTTGTTTTGAATTTCGAAGTTTCAAGTTGTTGAAGTCCGGGGTTTTCATTCCAAATTCTTCTTCGACATAAAGATTTTACCTTTTGATTCAATGAAAAACAATCAAAATGTCATAAGAACACATCTGGAGGTTTGTGTCAAAATGCAATATGCAGTTTGTCTCACAGCTTCAAACCCATTCTAATTTTGAATTTTGACATCAAAGACTTCATAAGATTTGCCATTGGAACTATGTCGGTAATCCTTTAGGTCGTACACAGTAGCAAAAGTTCATCACATGCAACTAACATTATTTCCTTGTTACCATTTCATGCTTTCAACTTCGTATCCAAAAATTTCACTATAATTCAGTTGAAATTTTCACCCAACATTTAGCTTGAAATTTCAGTTTAGAATGGTGAATTTTGAAAGCACAGTTTTTGTTAGAAATAGTTGCGAGGGTATTATTGAAAAATGCGCATTTCATTACTGATTCCAAATCTGTCCTTCGTATCCTTGAAACTTGATTCCAAGGAGAGTTATAAGGGTTTGTTTCTAATGAATGTCCTGGCCAAGTTTTCCTGGATCCTTGCCAAAATCTTCTCCACAGCGCTCGCCCTCCTAATTATCTCCTACGGCTACAGTCGGCAGGCCTTTGGTTCCTCCTGCACCGCATCCACCCATGTATATGCTATGGCGCTTACGATACGGATTTGGAGTTTTCAACGATAGGTTGTGTGTGAACAACCGCAGCAGCCCCCGAACTGCTGACTCCTGCACAAGACTCTTGATAGTCGCAGTACCCCTTCCTTTCATTGAAAACCAAAGAAGTAGGACATTCCTAGATTGTTGAGGACATCATCATTGGTAGTTCTGAGAATGACCTACCATCGCTAAAGCTTTTCCGCCACTGCAGAACACAAAGCTTGATGTGCATCCTAGCCCGTAGTATCCATCTTCTTTGAAAGTACAGTCGATTTCGGATGCGTGACTCGACCCGGAGCAATCATGGACAGTTTCAATCGGAACGCACTTGCGCTCTGCACTGCTGAAGACTTGGAATTCAGGGCATTCTGCCAGCTGTGACGTAGCGTTGGCGCACGTAATGTACTGAAATAAAATTTCATCCATCGCCATGCTCGTACGACACCTACTGACCTGCTGGGAGCAGCTGCTCACTGCGTGTGGCCCGTCAGGCTTACCATGACAACTGGTTGTAGGTTTAGAATGTCTTGGATGATGGCCTCGTCCTCTGATCTCTAAAGTTACATCAGTAAACTCCAAAAAGTGTACGGCTCCATGTTGAAACTCACTTGCAGTGTAGATGGTTCGTTCCACTTCTGGTTGTTGCGTCGCAAATGCAAGCGGAGGACTTGTCACCTGCTCACTCTCTAATTCTGGATTTCCACCGCATGCTCGCACTCGCCATTTATAATCACACTAAATGCAGTCGTATGCCGTGTGCACAATTCTGATGATCCTTGAGAAATTAGCAGTTCTTCTGGTGTAATTACATGGGTAAGTAACATACGCGGGAAACTTATTGCATTTACCCCAATAGTTCTGCAAAGCCTAATTTGACCGTCTTAGCACCGCCATACCACCTTGGGATAAACTTTCACTAGGATGCTTGCTTTTATTTGGTTTTTTCTAATTCTATCTTCTAAGGCTACTATTTAGATTATTTTTTGAGAGATCTAAAAAACGGTTCATGCAGCGTCTTGAATGACGTTTCTAAACAGAAAATGAGTTTTTGTGGAGAGGCCAAACATGAATCCGAAAATCAACAATTCAAGTCATAAACGACTCGAAACCGTACCATGTTGCGTTCGCTGTCGTAGAAGAGTCCATTTGGGCACGGGTCGACTTGGTTGTTCACGATTTTCCCATCCACGCAACGGAAGTAAGTGGATGAGCATCCGATTGTGTAAAACCCGTCTTTCTTGTTCATGCATGACCTTTTTATTCGATCTGAAAACCTTGGCATACGCTGTTTCCACTAAAGTTGGAAACACTTACTTGCGCATCCTTTTACATTGCCATCGAAGTCGCACATGTTACTATCTGGATTGAAGACCAGATTATCATTACAGAACTTCCGTGCGGCTATCCCGTTAAAGCAATGGTCGTAGTAGGGTGAACATGGTGCAACTGGGTAAAGTCCGTTAACACGACTGTCACAAATTCGTTCATCCTGACCTAAAGGAAACAAAGAAAAGAAATGTAGCAACAAGACAGCGTACAAAAGGATATGCGGGAAATGGACTTACCAACTGCTAACCCGATAAGGGTTAGTAGTAGCGGTAACCTCATGGGTAAAGATGAGTAGAAAGGGGAGTGAGTAGCCGGGCTCTTAAATGTACCACAGCGCTCCGGCAGGTGAGATGGTGATACTGAAGTTCTGGAACAGTCTTTCGCGCCCATTCCTCCCCCTCGTTTCCTTGATCATTCGATTGGCAGGTCGAAATCCTGGACGGTATAGCCGATATCTCGGAAACGGAGATCATAGGCTTGGTTATGGGGGACCTCATCAGCCTCTCGTAACACAATATACCAGACTTACCTCTCACAACACAAGTTCTACTCTATTTGCTATACTGATTCCTCCAGACTTCCATCCAGCGTGGTCAAAAATGGATGGCAACGTCAATTTTCCAATAAACGATTGTGAAGAGAACTGTTTCTATCGTTGCTCGAATTTCCGTATACATTCTTTATATGATTATGTACTTTCTCTGCCAGTAACTGAATTTTATTCATCATTTTGGTATAAATATGGCACAACCAAACAAGCATTCATATTTCACAAATGTAGAAGTATACAGCACAATCTCCACGACATTATATCAACTTTCATCTTCTTCTAATCCTTGCTGATGCAGTTGAAGCCGAATGGCATAGCCGAAGCGAATAACTGTAATATGAGAACTGAACCTCTTTTCTAATTTTACCACAAAAATGTACCTACAGGATTAAAAGGAAGTTGGCTAAGCTGCAAGGTTCTGTCCTGTGCCAGTCTTTTGCACTTGTACCTTCTGTTTTGGAACCAAATTTTCACCTGAAACATTTCACTAGATTGAGTAACATGGATAGGTAAATCTAATCTATTGTCCATCATCACTTCATAAAAGCAAGTAGTCCCAGTAATCAAGGCTTTGGTGAATTTCTTTACACATTCAATTGACTCATGGTAAACTCATTTTGCAAGTTTTTTTGAACTTTGCATTTGCAATTCTGGTCCTCAACTAAATATCCTTGATTTGAGGTCTTAAGCTGGCCATGCTCAGCCTATGGTCGTTCATTTGTCAACGTTAGGTTGAAGCTCTATATAGCAAGGCTTTCGTATACTGTGCATAATTTGTCTCTTTTATGCCTCTTTCTCCTTTGCTTCTTTTCATCAGGGGCTTTTTAATCTATGCTACGGAGACTTGGATATACAGGGTGTCCCAACAAATGTGCACACTGTGATTGTGAATAACTCTCTTGTAATGAAGTGTTTCGAGAAGCTTTAGGTACGATTTTGTAGAGCGAGGTTCAGCTTAGATTTAAAGTGTAGCGCGAAATGCCGATCGCTCATTTTTACTGTAGGATTACGGTGGAAACTTCAAACATATGGTGTCACTGTGAAAAAAGGGGCCGTTTCAAAAAAATTTTTAAAAAAATGTGGAAACTTGTATAATAGGGTTTTCATGGACGCTGAATTCAATACCCTACTCTTTACAAGGCTGCGATGCTTTCTAAACGGTGTACCCGCACTTTTCAAAAACATTGAAAAATTGGCCGCTATTGCTTACCTCGCATAATTTTTTGATGAAGCATTAAGAAAAACTGCAAACTTCACATTTAGAATCAGCAACTCTAATTAGCCCAGTGTGAGAGTTTTCAGGTTGTTTTGTTCCTTTTTTGGAACAAAATATAGCCTTTCATGGCTTAAAACCCTCTTCAAAGTTTCTACCGTAATCCTACAGTAAGAATGAGCGATCAGCGATTCGCTCAACACTGTAATCTAAGTTGAACCTCGCTCTACAAAATGGTACCCAGAGCTTCTCGAAACACTTCATCACAAGAGAGTTATTTACAATCAAACAATGTGCACATTTTTTGGGACACCCTGTATAAAAGTCAGACTTGTGCAAATGATTTAAGATCGTGTCTGATTACTATCTTGCAAAATGATAAGTCTATGATGGAAGACAATTGGGATAATATTTGTTGCTTGCAGTACCACAAATGAGGGGTGCTCGTAAAAAATGAATGAAAAATTATTATTTACTTGTATTTCGATAACTACGGGGTAAATTTGCAAATTATGGGTGCGATATTACAGCAATTTCGTTTTAGCATAATCCCAATGTGGCTCGGGCAAATCTTCTCGCCTTTTTGATCTGTTTGCTGAAATATAACGATGACATGTAGTCGCCAGCTCACCTGAGTGGCACTTAGCCCTAATATGTTAGCTAGCTCCTCCCTTTCGCTTGCGGTTACGTAGCGTTGCTTTTTGAAACGCTCTTCCAGCTCGTTCACCTAAAACCAGCCATGTACTGGTCTAGTATCAACTATCAACTATCTGTGTTTGACTGATTGTCAGTTGACAGCAGTGGCATGACCCTATACGGTAGTGAACCTACTTGGCGCTGTGTAAACAGAACTCGCGGCTTTCTTCTGTGCTGCTGTGATCGAAGAGTTATGCTGCAATCTTTAGTGGTTTGGTTTGTGCGCATAATGGTGTCTGCAAAGGATTATTACATTTTCTTCCTAGTTATTCTTTTTTGACTTACTGAAGTACGCCAGATGGGCTCCAGCTGCCATCTGATATTGCATGTACGGGTTAGAAGTGGTGGATTTGGATGCATAGCACATATTCGCCGGATTGCTGAAAGATGACTGTAGGTAGTCACCTGGTGCGGCGATATGAGCATGACAATTCCTCTCATAATTATGAACGGCTTCCGCATCCTCGGTAGCGACTGGTACGTTGAAAGCAGCGGATGATGTGCAGGTCGGCAGCGATGAACTCATGAGTACTGGCAGTCCCATCCGGAAACTATATCCGAAGGAGAAGCAATGCCGTGCTGTTTGTTATCCATTAGAAGCGTTGAAGGCGCTCGATTACCATTTGAGAACTTTGGCGGAAGAGACGCTTTGCGGTCGGATTGGGTTGCAGCCGTCCCCGCATTCACACTGTTCATTCGTGGAAAATTGCCTAATAGCTACCGCTTGCTCTCAACTTTCTCAGTGAAGATAAACGTGGAGGTTAGAAGAAAGAAAGGGCATCAGAAAAAAGGCCATATGCAGGGACTTGTAGCAAAGTCGTTAACATAAGAATCTTCTGCACCTGCTCAGCAAAGATCCATTCATGTCAAACCGAACATGTTCGTATCAACTTTCTTATCTTGCAGTGCTCACGTGCACCGAATACAGCAACAGTCACTTCTATTTACATAATACCATGAACAAAATAGTACCCATGTGCAAGTGGGCAATACTCTCATTGATTGTTTGAATTTAATGGTTGCTCTGATATCTGCCATAAGGCAAATCGAGATGCCACTCTCTGAGCGAATATTTGTGCACATACCAACACTTGAATAAATTTGAACTCACCAAAAATTACCGCCTATGCCTATAGTATATAAGTCCAGTTCTCCATGATAAATTGGGAGAAAAAAATGTGGAAGCAAAAATTGACAGGAGTGCTGTGTCAAGACGCGCGCTTTCCCTTCAAATGCTTAGTTCTTTAAAAATCCTTTCTTAGAAGAAATGACATGTGTGTTTGAGTATTCTTGTTGTGCTTATTGTAGGTAAGGCAAATGCACTTGCAGTAGACTTGTCATACCAGGTTTGATAAGCCAATGTATCTTATCGTCTCGTAAATGACATCAGGTCATGCACCACAGTTCTCTTACTGAGAAGTAGCACCATGCCGTCTATAGCAAGCCCTTCTGAGTCAGTGCATCAGGCACTTCTTGACATCTTTTATAGTTCTTTGCTCTGTATTTGCCCACACTATCGTCATCTCCTTAATATCTGTCTACACGATCGCAAACGAAATTTGTCTATCTCAACTTATGTCCGTGATCGAAATCTCGATTTGCAGCTTCCAACTTTTTGTACTTCCTTAGAGCTTTTTCAAATACTTATTTCCAGAGGAAAAAGGCCTTATACTACTGCGTTGTGAACTTCATTTTGTAAAGTCTGTAGGTCCATGGCTGTCCACGAAGGGCTAACAGAGGAAGAAACAGGACGAGTCAAATCGCTTCTGCGACAATGCTTTCCGCACACCAACTTTGACAAAGATGTCAGCTGCACATTTGTAATCCAAGCAGACAACAGAAGCTTCTGGTCAAAGATCGTACGTGTGCACCTGGATTGGAAGAATGTAGAAGAAGGACAAGATCACCCCACGTCCATTTTTATGAAGGTCTAGATCACATTATGTTTTTCTGCTCATTTTGCACAAATGGCCTTGCTGTTCACGTCCACCTATTGACACTTTTGATTACGGTTGTCTTAGATAAGAAGCATAGATCATGTCCATATGACTAAATAACCGTATAATTGAAAGTAACTAAATGAAAACTCAATTCTAGATCCCACGGGTTTCCGAAAATGTGAGATTTGGGGAGGCGAACGACTATAGTGACCTTGAAGCTGCCAAAGAAGCTGAATGTCTGCTCATACTCACAAAGGCATGCCCTACAATATGCAGAATAAAAGTAGATGACGTGAAAGTTATGCTTGCAGTACGAAGTGTCATTTTATCGAAACTATGGAAATGATATCATTCCGCACTTTCCAATGCCAAAATTTTACGCTGCCGAAGATGTCACAGAACCAGGGACGGGAATTATTGCTTTAGAAGACCTTAGCGACCGCGTAAAAACGATGGACCTTTTTCCCGGTCTGTCATTAATCCAGGTACATTATACAAGTTTCTTACAACCATTTTCACTCTTGCATTTGAGTTGGAAACAGTTATGGATGCGTTGGCTGGGTTCCATCATCATTTCTACACCAAGGAAGATCAGTCGTGGGTGTCTTCTTTTGACAGAGTTTCCGAAATCGAGAAAGAGTTCCAGGATGTGCAGGCAATGATTTTTTTTTGTTTGAAGCATTTGACTACCAAAAAATTGTTCACAAAGAAGTCGAGTGCACATTTTTTCATGTGTGCTGCACGTATGCCTTAATTGCAGTTTGGCGCTTCCCAGATGTTTGAGAAGATTCGACCAGATTTGTTCAAGTCAAAAGTGTCAGCGCTGAAGGAATACTTTAGCCTTGAAGCGGCGACGAGCGCTCATTACTCTTATAAAGAATTAGGTTCGTTTCAACTGCATCTCATTTTCATCGCGACTCTGCTGTCACCAAAACTGATATCAGGAGTCCCTCCAGCTCCAGTCCACTTCGACATGAATCCCACAAACCTATTATGGGACAAGGAAATGAGAAAGGTGAGCAAATCTCTCTATCCAGACACTGTGATCGTCCATGCAGCGTTCCCACGCAAGTTGAATAGGGGAAATCATCAAAAGCTTGCGCTGCTGAGGTTTTTTGCTGCAGTGTGGCTATAGAGTGAAGCAACTAGGATGCCAATGGTCTCAATTTTGTTTCTTATTCTAAACTGAAGATGAAAATCGTTGGTTCTCAACGGCGAACATCTCATAACAACTTCGAACTTTCGTGAACTCTTTCCAGCTCATTGCAATAATTGACTATCAACTCCTCCACACCGGTAATTTCGCTGAAGACATCGCGCGAACGTTGACGCTCACGATGTCGAGACAGCAACGATGGAACCATACGAATGCGTGAGTTATACGGAATGGATTGAATTCACTTTTCATTATCTCTTGGGCAATGCTCCGGCAAAAGTACTTTACAGTTTGACACCGAATTTTTTGAAATGATCGGGAATTTCTTTTCAGACTCCTCAAGCGTTACCACGACACACTAACATCACTGTCAAACGGCAATCCGCCTTACGCCATTTCCAAGGTAAAGAAATCATAGCACTCTTTGTGACTGCAGCAAACTCAATGTTCGAAGGTGTACGAGGCATACGAATGGATCTTCCCCTACTCCATGAACTTCGGATTGTTTGCTATGGCCAACTACTTTGACATGTACAATAGGCTAGAACAAGATGAGGTGAAAAGAAGAGAGATTCAAAATGAGATCACTGACAGAGCCTATGGGGCAATAATTGATGCTGAGCGATACATTCGTCTACGGCAGAATTCGCGAAGGCCTCGAAGGGTCTAAGAAAATTCTACCGACAGCAATTAAAATCTTGCCATGCACTTTAACGCTCAAAGTCTTTTTGTTCCGCACTTCCGCTATAGCCCTCTTCTCATGCATTGATTTTTAAGGTGCTTCACTTAATCTGATGAACAAGCCATTTTACATTGTTGATATCTGCAAGACTTGCGATTACCTCTTCAACACGTGTTATTCAGTGAAAAATGTGCAGCATGGAATAGCTTGAAAAGCTTTTATTTCGATAATTATATTTTTTATTACAAATTATGCTCATTGTCAAATTCATGTATCCTATCTGTCTTTATATTGGAATGGGTAAATTTTTTGACAATTCGTGATAAAGACTCAATCAAGTTCTGGCATTCTCAAAGCAAACTGTAAAAAAACCATTGCGTTCATTACTAATACGGGCAATGGAGCTGCTTGCATAAGTTCGAAAAACACGAATAGGGAACTTGTTTTCCTTGTAGAAATTCGGAATCTTTGCAATGATATTATATCAGCTGAGTATTGCCATTCAGTGGCTGCAGTTAGCCCTTCGTTGACTCATCTTTCACAAAGCAACATACTTCTAGAAACTTCATTATATGCAAATTTCATGAGATTTTGGAGCAATAACTTGTAAGGATGAGAGATATACGGTAACTAATCATCAAGAAATATACAGAACAAGTACATCTAATGTATAAAGAAAAACCCGCAATGATTTTGAGAAACCATCAATGACTGATAAGCTAGGTAGAAACAGAATTTTGAAGTCCGGGATACATGATCATGGGATATAGTCCGAGAACAACATTTTAGCGGAAATCGACGTAGTTCGGTCATTACCCGATGATTGTTATTGCGGTGAAGTGAAAGCTAATGAAAAGAATAACAAACGTTGATACTATGCACTACTAGCAATCTATAGACTTGACTCAAATGGATCGCTGTGCTATTCTGACTGCGAGCCCTAATGAAATACGGAGGTAAGAACCTATCAGTATCAACTGTGAAATCTTTGTAGCCCGTATCAGACGGCGCAGTGACGTGTACATGTTGTGACGAGAATTCAAGGAAACCTAGTGTGTAGGAGTGACTAGCAATAAAGCACTTGAATATGTTATCGTTGACGGAGATAAAGCTAGATTTGATTCGAGTCGGTACAGCCCTGCGAGTGTCACAATGTGCAGAAAATGTGGAAGTTATATACTATTTTCTACATGGATAGACTCTCACACAGAGGGTAGATATCGATCGTCATCGGCTCGCTGCATCAGCAGGGCTTCGTGAGCAGTTTGTCTTTGACGAGTATTATCCTCGCGTCGTTTTTGCCTCCTTCGGTTTCCGACCACCAGAATTATCGCCGTCAGTAAAATTGCCCCAATAAGGAGACCTATGACGATGTACGTGACGGTTGACGATGGAATAGTCAGACCAAGGAATGAGAACGAATTCTGGAAACCATGCAGACTGTGATAGTAGAAGTTGAGATTCCGAGGAGAATCTCTAATGACGCTACGATCCAAACCAACTTACTTTATGCCTCCGCTCCCTGTCCATGCCAGAATTTCGCAGTGCCTGCGATGACTCGGTATAGGTAGGACTATTTCGGGTATAGAGCGATTTGCATATATGATACGGATAATCCGCAGGATTGTGATAGCAAACGCAACTTGTATTTGATGAGCTAAAACATTACACTGACAAGGAAAAGGCAAATAGGCAGAATTCGGCAATTACCTGAACTCCGGCTCGCCGTTTTTGCATGTCAGATGATCGCAGAATTGGCTGATTGAAGCAACACGTACACCTGAGAAATTTGGTTTCAAAATACCTCAGAAGCATAGTGGAGATTGCTAGCTAATATGTGATTGCTCACTACATCCACAAGGGAGCTAGAAATAGATTAGTGTTCCCGAACACTTCTTAAGCCAGTTCTAGTGTTTCTTTTTACTTTAATGTTAGCTTAAAAAATAAATTTAAATGTCCCTCACAAGAATTGTAAAAAATGGAATAACAACCACTATTCAAACTGCAAAGGGAGGTAGTGTGTAATTTCACACATCAGCTTACGAGGCTCCTCTGCTTGGAGATGTACAGAATAAGACAAAAATGTTGCGCAAATGTTTCTTATCTACTCGTTAGCGATGAATGGGATTTTCGGAGATTAAATAAGGTAACTTTGGTCACTTACAAGGAATGCATGTTTAGTCGAAGTGACCTTTTTAGATGGGACGTATCCTTGAAGGGCATAAATTGCTGATTCCAAATCTGCCCTTCTCATCTACAGCGCGTTTATGGACGATGAGTTATGAGCGCTTATTGAAGCAAAAAAGTGAATGTGCAAGTAGGACAAATAGCCGTAATACTTTTTCTAGCTCTTTAATGGTGCAATGACAATCGCAGAGCATTTTATTGGAAAAATAAATAAAAAATACATCATACTTGGTCGCATTACTTGAGGGCTAGTAAGATTTTGGCAACTCATTTTATCCAAAGTGCACGTTCAATTTTTGCCTTCAAAAAACCTTCATAGCTTCTAGTGCATAAACAAATTTGAATGATCACAGATAGAGTCGAGCTAAAATAACTATGTATTGAACAAGCTTGCCTACTATTTGTCCGATGTGAAAAGTGAATAACTTACTTCCTATCCTTTCTATTGAAACACCGCGTGATGAACTGCTGGCACTTGCTGCCATTGTCACCAAATTTTCTGGAAACGAAACTTTGATTGACCCTCGGATTTTTTTTGAATTATGCATTTTCGAAAATTCTTAATCGTAAAAACTCGAGAATTTCAGCAGCGAATTTGTGTTTAGCTATAATTTGCCGTTGACGCTCGTACCCTTTATAATTAGAGGAATTTGTATATCAAAGTAATGTAAGTGAACTAAGTTGTCGTCGAAATCAGAATTTTGATGGAAAACTGCGGAATAGCTACCGCTCGCTCCCATTCTCAGTGGCGATAAACGTCTAGGCTAGATGAACGAAAGGGCACTAGGAGAAAAGCCATATGCAGGAACTTGTAGCATAGCCATTAATATAAAATCCTTTGCAAAATGCTCAGCAAAGTCTTTGCTTGTGGAAGACTCACAATATCCATTCATGTCAAACCGAACATGTTCATATCAACCTCCTTATCTTGCGATGCTCACGTGCACCGTATACAGCAACAGTCACTTTTATTTACATAATACCATGAACAAAGTAGTACCCATGTGCAAGTGGGCAATACTCTCAATGATTGTTTGAATCTAATGGTTACTCTGATATCTACCATCAAGGAAAATCGAGATGGCACTCCCTAAGGAAATATTTGTGCACTTCTACACCAACGTTTAAGTAAATTTGAACTCGGCAAAAACTATCGCTTCTGTTTATGGGGTACTAGTTGACTTACCCGGCTCCGCCGTGCCCTGTCATTATTATATTCGTAATTAGCATGCTCGATTACCCCCTGTGCCAACTCCCAGCCCCGTAGCTCAAATTTTGCAAAAAATCGATAAAATCGATATCGATCGATGACGAAAAGTGGCTGACACCCGCCGGGGCCCGATGTGTCTGTGTGCCAAGTTTGGTCCGGATCGGTTCAGAAATGGAACTTTCTATTCGGAACATACGTACAGACAGACAGACATACAGACAGACAGACAGACAGACAAACAGACATTCAGCTTTATATATAAGTTATTAATCTAGTTTCCCATGGTAGATTTGAGGAAAGAATGTCAAAACAAAATTGACGGGGGTTGTATCGTCTAGGCTCTACTGTAGCCTGAAGCGAAATAGCGCCTTTTGGTGTTATATAGAACACATTATATAATATTGTTAGAAGGAAGTTGTTGGCATTTTGTGCACAAAACCATCTCATTCCAGTTGAACAGTTTGGGTTTATCGAAGGCTCTTCGACCACCCTTCAATTATTGGTCTGTGAACATCACTGGAAAAAAGCTTTATCTCAAAATCGATTTACCGATGTTCTTTATTTTGATCTGTCTAAAGCCTTTGACAGAGTAGACATTCCCAAACTGCTTGATAAGCTTTTCCAAGTAGGAATTCGTGGAACTGTTTTGAAATGGCTCTCATCTTATCTGTCCAATAGGACTTTTTCCGTCCGCTGTAATTCTGCTGACTCTTCCTTCTACTCAGCAACTAGTGGAGTGCCACAAGGTGGTGTATTGTCCCCTGTACTTTTCAATATTTACACAAGTGACCTTCCTGGACTCTTAACTACAGACTGCAGAGTTAAGGTTATGGCCTATGCTGATGACATTAAAGTGTTTACATCCTATGTTGATGCTGATAGAGGTGAAGTTACACAAGCCCTTAGAGACTGCCTGCAGAATATTCTGAATTGGGCCTCTCTTAACAGTATTGACGTTAACCTAACAAAAAGTGCCTGCCTGACAATCTCCAAAAGAAAGGAGAATGATTGCACCTTTGAGAAATACGAGCATTCTGGTACCTCTCTTTTTAGGCCTGGACTAATAAGAGATCTTGGGGTGCTAGTTGACCAAGAGCTTCGATTTAGATCCCATATCGAGAAAATAGCACGTGCAGCCCTGCACAGACTCTTCCTCTTGCTACGTAACTTGAAGCATGTTGATGAGAAAGTTTACATCAGAATGTATATGGCTTATGTCCTCCCGCATTTAGAATATGCTAGCCAAGTTTGGAGTCCATATATAAAGAGGGATATCTTGACTTTGGAAAGAGTTCAGATGACTTTTACTCGTATCCTTTTCTATAGACTTATGCCTAACGACGATTACCCAGCTGCCCTCCCGTCCTATAGAAGTAGGTTGGCCCGCTTCAAGCTCCATAGCCTGCTTTACCGAAGGGTTGTTGCTGATTTAGTACTTGCCTTCCAAATATTACGTCTCGAGACTAAGCTTTTGCCTAGTGAATTTTGGGTTTGGAAGCCCTGCCACGGACGTACAGGTAGGTTTAATTTTTACTGTGCTGATTCAATAGGATCAACAAAATTGAACAAGCTTTTTTATAACTCCTTTTTT